AAATGTTACGGTCAGCAAAGGACAGAAGGGACCCCCTCACCACTGCGGGAGTATAAAAGATACCCTGCAGTTGTGGCCAGGTATATATTGGAACCACAAAAGGAAGCATCCACACCAGAATCAAAGAATATGAGAGGCACTGCAGACTAAAACAACTGGAAAACTTGGCAGTAGCTGAACATGCCCTGAAACAAGCTGGACATGAAATTCTATTTCAAAATACTGGAATACTGGACAACACCAGCAACCATTATGTTTGACTGCACAGGGAAGCCATTGAAATCCACAAACACAAGCAGAACTTCAACAAAAAAGAAGAAAGTTTAAAACTCAACAAAGCTTGGCTCCCAGCACTGAAAAATACAGCCTGCAAAAGGTCAACAAACTCTACCCACCCACAAGAGCCGGTGATCACTACACACAAAAGACTAGCTAACGACACCGATCAATCACAGTGACAGATAATCTCTCCTTCTTATCACAACAACAAACACACCCACACACAACCCCCCCACACTGATCACCCATCTCCTAAAAGGACAAAAGCTGATCCCACAGCTATAAATACACAACTCCCAAACAAACTATCCTCTGAAGATGCCGGCCACAGAGACTGGCGAAACATTAGGAAGAACAACCTTCATAACATGGCCAAAGAGCCCAAAACACCCACAACAACCATTAGATCCCGGCTGTGAAAGCCTTCGCGAATACATCAACTGATAACTTTGTAACAGAACAGTCCCATAACAGAGGTAATAACTTATTTAGTACTTCATCTAAATATGATAAACTTTTGCAAACTTTTCCTGATCTCTCGGTTCCCTCAGACTGCCGCTGTGGACTGCACATATAGTCTCACAACGTGGGTGTTGGGACCATTTGCCTTCCCTGGGTTTCTCGTTTGAGAGGCTTGGGCGGGTCACAAACCTTGAAGGACCTCGGCCCCGAGGGAAGACTAGCACTGTCCATTCTTCAGGAGACAGTCCTTCGATTATCGGTTTTATTTTGATTTTCCTGTCAGTTTCTTCCTTGGCCTCAGCCATACCTTCTTTCTCATCCCATACTCCTATATTCTTCCTTGGCATTTTAAACACTTCAACATCATCAGATTCATTCTCCTCCCAATTCTCCTCAGCTGTTGTCACTCTCTCCATCTCCCCTGACTGCCTGTTTTCCTCTGTCGTCAAGAAAACGTTTATCCCC